TGATGATGATGATGATGATAGTAGTTATGTGTAGATATATCTCTTCTAGATGTATCTCTTTGGGATGAACTCATTCCAAACCCTAGCAACAGCCATCTCTGCTGGTTTCACAGTTCTAGTTTTGAGCCCTCATATCACAACATCTACATGAATCATAATTTTACAACAAAATTGTAAAAAAGTAGGCCAAGCAATAAACCAGCATGAACCAGGCAGTACGCAGAGCCCTGTTGGAAGCAATATGTTCCTCTGAAATGTCAGATGATTTTCACCAACTATGCAGTATTATCATCATCATCATCATCATCATCAGTAATCTGTCAGACGACAGGTCCACAGTCTCTTCCAAAACAATTCCTCCACTTAATGCGATCTAGAGCTTTCTCCTTCAAATGACAGTATCCTCTTCTGTCCCCAAGGTCATCCAGCATCTTCTTACGTCTTCTTGTCACTTCTATCCGCCCCTCTATCTTTCCTTCAATAACTTCTTTTAGAAGGCAGTTTCTGCGTAAAACATGTCCAATCCAATTAGCCTTCTGTTTTCTTATTTTGTGTAGGATATTCCTCTGCTCACTGACTCTAATTAACACTTCTTCATTTCTCACATAATCGGCCCAACTAATCTTCTCCATCCTTCTACACCACATTTCGAAACTTTCCAGATGTTTCTGATCTACTGCCCTAAGTGTCCATGTTTCAGCCCCATACAGAGCTATGCTCCAAATGTAGCATTTCACTAGTTTCTTCCGCAAATTTAAGTCCAATTTGCTGGTAAAAAGATTCTTCTTCTTGCTAAATGCAGCTTTTGCCATAGCAATCCTGGATTTAAATGAAAAATCTGTTCTTCATAGCCACCAATGTGAGAACATCAAACCCAACAAAACATTTTCAGATCCAACTCTAACATAAATGTCGGAGTTCAGGTCCTGGTAGGGTCTAGAATTTTCTCTTCTACACATTGGCCAGAGGGGTTTTGGGGCTCATATAGCCTCCTTCCCAATGCGTACCAATGGTTCTTACCCCAGGAGTAAAGCTGCCAGGGCGTGAAGCTGACCACTCACCTTCAACTAGTGCCAAAGTAAAAAAAATGTAGATCTATACATCCAATGCCCAATATGCCTTCATGATGTAGTGCTTAATTACTTAAGAACACGGACAACTTTACCTTTTACCTTACCCTAACGTAAATAAATTAAGAAAAATATGGGCAAGGACTTTCTGATTATAAAAAACATTGATGTGTGTGTGCAAATACACAAGAACAGTGTTGCAAATACGTACATAGAAAATGCTTACACATCAAATTCTCAGTCAAATGAAAAAATGAAAGGACATTTTTCTCTATTTGCCAAGAACTTCAATGTATAAATGTAAACACTGTATGGAAGTGCCACAAATGTGTGTGGAATGGACAGATCTCCAATAACTATTGTAATTCAGGTAACTTTTACTTGTTAAGTGTTAAGCTGTGGTTTTGGCAGTTCCACTAAAAGTCTGAATCTCAGCCAGTCCAACCTGATGGGATCCAGCACTTCTGCCTGAGAGATTTAACAATTAGATTTGCAGCTGCATTCATAAAAAGTATATAATCAAATTCTACATGGGGAACTACATAAATGAAAGATTACATACATGCACACATATGGTAAAAGGTAGAGCTATCCCTGTAACAGGCCATGGAGGTCCATAGGGTTGTGAAATGTTGAGGCTCCCACATTTTCTAGACAACTGGTTCACAGATTGTGGTGAGGTTCTCAGCCTTATGCACCAGAAATATTCCTGGTACTCATTTCTGTTAGAGGGTGAGTCGACCCTAGGGCCATAGTGTGGCTGGAAGGATTAGGTAAACTGAAAAAATCCACCTCATCGGGATTCAATCCCTCGAACTTCAGGCTTGTAGCATAGTGTCTCAACCAACTACACTACCACCTGCCCCCCCTCACATATATATATATATATATATATATAAATTTACAATACATTATTTAAAGTGTGTCAATATATACTGAAGTATGTTCTAGTAAACTGCCATATAGAAATTGTTGCAAAAAAACACTGCACTACAATCGACCATGAATGTACCATCTCATTCCACTGGCCACTACAAACACTCATTTGGTACATAATATATTCTACACTAATTAGAAACTAATATATGCAACATATGAATAAATCACAGACATTGTGGTTAAGTACACTATTATGATTTCCATAAAGTCTAATGCTTCCCTTCAGTTTAAAATTCTTTTACAATTACATGTGCTCATATGGGGTCTGTCAATGAGATCTGATGTTTTAGCATGTGCTGCTGTGAAATGAGAACTGGAGTAGGGGTAATTGTACATGTATGAGCACACTCCTAAGTGTCTCAGTAATCACAGAAAACTGGCCTGTGAATAAATGTGTATTTGCCAATGAAACATTTTTTTAACACAGTCTATTGTGCAGAGAGAAAGAAATATTTATGCCCGAAATTTATTTGCCAAGGCTTGAAAGAACTGCAACTGATGTTCATGCAGCTGAAGAGGCAGCTGTTCAGTACAGCACATAACACTGTTTGATAATGTACCAACAGAACTGAAAATGGACCTTGTCAGAAATTATCAACAAATTTAACACATCTACATCATTAATTAAATAAAATCTCCAAGAAACACAATTGAAACATGCCATTTTAACCTGATCATTTCAATGTCAATACTCCAGATTTTGTACAAATGATAACTCAAATCCTCATGCAAAATTCACCAAATAGTCTGAAATTTCAGTACCAACAAATGTTGCACAGATGAGTAGGACTGACCATTCCTTATTCTTTTGATGTTTTCTGGTATAAGAACTGAACATACACCACTCACAAATCTTGAGCTTTCACAAACACAAAACTCAATCACCCTCCTTAACAACAGGACATGGAATTCTCCTATGCCTTGGTACATCAAATTCTGGCTCAAATTTTCTCCCACTGCACAACAGACTGCCTTCAAAAAAAGTTTCAATAGAAAATGCACACTAATTCATAAGACATTCTGCCATCATTACTGAAACTGTATACATGTGATACACATACAGCTAACACCAACCCACTTCCCATTTTACAGCAGCACATTCCAGAACAGTGAAAGCCAGTTGTGGATCCTGTACTTGCAGACAACACATTTATTTTATTTATTTTAGCTATTGCATGTAATTTATAGTTTAGCTTTTGTTGCCTAATTATACTCATCCACTGTTTTATCATATTTAAAGGACTTATTATGTTATTTTTCTATGGTTTTTTATATTATTAGTCATTTGATGTGATGTTTTTAATCTTATATATTTTTTTTATAAAAAACTGACTTGTCCAATTGTACATAATGTAACAGTTATGGATGTTAAATAAATCAATCAATCAATATCTCATATACTTCATTATATTCTGTTGCAATACTTACCATTACCTATCTGCTGTTGGAAATTATTCGGTCGTATGTTATCTTCAGAGTCCACAACACTGGCGAATTCTACGGGTTGCTTGCTCCTCATATGTATCACATTAGGAATGGTAGTCTCTCCAAGAGATTCATGATTATCTGATTCATCAATCAGTTCAACCGGATGCTTTCGTTGTCTTCGAGATCTCTCTGGCAGACCAATGCCTGTCCATGACTCCAGTCTTGAATCGAGCGCTAGCAGTTCTTCGTCGAGTCTCTGTTGAGGGGTCATGTTTCTATGAATTGAATTTGTCTTTTGGCCATTTACCATCTGAAGTACAATTCTTAGGCGTTCTAGCATTTTTAAAGCTTCAGGCTGATTTGTTGCTCCACCACCTGAAGCTAACCATTCTCTGGCAGCTGCCTCAGCTTCTGCAAACCGATGCAAGGAAAATAAAGCATGGACAAGGCGTCTTCGTGCTCTTGCTCCATTGTTGCTACCACAATCAACATCAGCTAGAAGTTTGATAACACGACGGCAGTCTGACACCACTGCTTCATGCCTGCCAAGTTCTAAGCAACATTCTGAACGCCCCAACAAAAATCCTACAACCCTCTCCTTTGGTGTGCCATTGTTCAAAGCAGGTCCCAATAGCTGGTCGAACAGTTCTGCTGCACGGCCCCAGTCTCTGCGGCGTAGAAATTCATGGGCCTGTGCTTCTGTGTCATTCATGGCTGTGCCAGAATTAACGACATTTGCACTCGCTCCGTATATCCCTATATAATGTCCATCCTAAAATATGAAGCAAATTTCAATATAAGTTAACCAAATGAATAGTAACACGATTATACTAACTGCGATATTTATGTGCTATATAATAACAATGATACTTTTGACACAATATACACTGTTTCACACGCAACAATTCACATACTTACATTTATAAAGCCATAATTACATGTTCTTTAGCCCCATCAACCTACCCTTTGCCGCCATTTTGCTTATACAACTTTGTACAGAGAACACAAAATATTTGCATCACGACTAATGGCAAATGTACAGTCAATCGTAAATTTGTATTTTCTATTTCAACATTCCGTTTACGGAATAATAAGCAAAATGTTGTATTTATATAGTGATATTTACTCTCGCTGGCCAATGCATTCCATTATGTTAACCTGAGTAGGTAAAAAATGTACATGAAGTATCAGGCAAGCATAATCAAGAGTACAGATCATCTGTCACAAGTGTGGAACTTGAGGCATCTGTACATTCTACCATGTGAAGAATACATGCAGCCTTGTTGGCGTTTTATTTGAAAGCTCTACTGTCATCCATATGAGCCGCGGAATGACAACTAATGTCGCATAACGTATACGTGTATGAATCATGTATATCTGCATGCATGCACAATTCGGTACCAGAGGTAAAGGTACTCTTGTCCCCTTGTCCGCTCTTGTCCTTTCTGTCTTTCGGAAGTCAGACGCATAGTACTGACTGGTACTGACCGTACTGACATAAATCTGACGGAAGTTCGTAAACTTCAACCAACGGTATAGAGACCGACTTTAAAAGTTTTCGTCAAGCTACATAGTTTGTTTTCATGGAATGGAAATGACCTGGATGTATTTGCATATCCAAAAATATCGTTCGTCAGTGAAACCGTAGTGACGCAATTCAGTCCCTAGCGGAACATTAAATTAAGAAAAATGTACGATGGCCGTATACGTGGGGCCTTTAATATGCATGTGCTTTGCTAAGTTCTCGCAAATTTCGTGTTATATTATAAGGCTTTATGCTTTCTAGACAACTAGATGCAACACAAATATATTGCATGGAAACAATTTCGGAACCCTAGAATCGCACAGGGGCAGCCGGGATCGCCGGGATAGTGCAGTTTGTGTAGTAACTGGCTATGGGCTGGACGACTGAGATGTCAGAGTTCGAGTCCCGGTAGGGTCAAGGATTTTCTATTCTCCACGTCGTCTAGACCGGCTCTGAGGCCCACACTGCGTCCTATTCAGTAGGTACAGGAGGATCTTTCCTTGGGGGGGGGGGCTGCCAGGGCGTGAAGCTGAACGACCACCTCTAATGCCGAGGTCAAGAAAACTGGGATCTATACATCCACCACCCATACATCTCCATGGTATAGCCCTTAATTATGCATATGGAAAACTTGACTTTTTACTTAGTATTTGCAGAGGACATTATGTTATCCTTAGGTTAAAACTGACTATTGTGAACTAGTTAAAATGTCTCATCCATGGATTCACAAGCTGGAACCTAGTATTTTCTCATTAACACCAGAGTTCCCTTAAAAATTTCAGGTTAGAGGAATAATTTGAAAAATACTTTGAGTTTTTGGTTTTTAAATTTGGTATATTTCTTTCTTTTTTAATTTTTTACTTTATCCAAAAAAAAAATCAGGGGGGAGAGCAGTAGCTTGGCTCTCCTTCTATCGCAAGCACACACCATAAGTGAAAGGACGTGTGTCCATAATTTAACGATGGAAGAGAGATTGAATTAGTTGTCGGGAAAGATTACAAAATTCCAGATTTAGGATCTTCCTTCTCAACAGGCAAAGAGAACACTGTTTTAAATTAAATTACTAGTTTCAGGGTTATAAATTATTAATATATAATTGCCAAGAAAATGTGGGAACCTCAGTGTCTCACAACCCTATGGGCCTCCATGGCCTGTTGCACGAATAGCTTTACCTTTTTTTTCAGCTGGATTTTCATGTATGTATTTGGCTTTGAGGAACAAATTGCAGAGAATGTTGAAGTTTATCCATTTCGAAAACATTGCAATTGACAACTTCAGGGTTTTCTTTTTGGGCTGGTTCAGAAGTTCTTGTTTAGATCAGGCTATGTGTAGTGAGTGGGAGGTGAAGGTGTGACTGGACAAAACAGAGGAGCACTATGTAGTGAAGTACAGGGAAAAAGTAAAGGTGAAACTGTCCTTGTGCTTAATTAATTAAGCATCATGCCATGAAGGTGTTTGAGGGAGCAGAAGTATAGCTCCACCATTCTTGACCTCAGCACCAGATGTAGGTGAGTGGTCAGTTTCACGCTAAGCCCCTTTTATGCATTGGATAGGAGCTGCATGGGCCCCAGAGCCAGTCTGGTTGCTGTGAAGTAAAAAAAAAATTCTTGCCCCCACCAGGAATCAAACCCCTGCTGTCAAGCTTGCAGCCCATCACTATATTAACTGAGAAGTGGTGAAAATGTTTTTCAGAGACCAAGCAGTCAGGAAAATGGGTGTAATTAGGACAAGAGGTGACAAAAGAACTTCCTACTAACCATAAGGTACAGTTAACAGATTTTTCATTAATCATTTTTCCTTATCATCATACGAGGGTTGGAATTTAATAGTGGCAACTATTTATTTACAACTGATACAAAATTGATGCATGTTTCAAAATTTTACTGTCCTACACTGTAGTCACCAGCATTGTATACAACCCACTGCCAGCGATGTGGAAGTCGTAGGATACCTTTAGCAGCGCCTGTTGTGTTGACAGTTCAGATGGAGCGGGCTACTGCCTGAATAATCTCTGGAACAGTTCTGAAGCAAATGCCACGAAGTGGTTCCTTCATCTTAGGAATCATGTCAAAGTCACAAGGGCTTAAGTCCGGGGAGTATGGTGGATGGTACAGCACTTCCCAGCCCCATTTATCGAACAAATCAGCCACAGTTTGCGCTGCATGTGACAGAGCACTGTCCTGCAAAATGATGGATGGGTTCTGCAGAAAGTGTCGCTGCTTCTTTCTGAAAGCTGGTCGCAGATTGTTCCAAAAAGGAAGAGTAATACTGCGCACTGATGGTCTGCTGTCGGGGAACGGTATGTGTTAGGATAACACCATCACAGTCGTACATGAGTATCACCATAACTTTCACATTGCTGGGGTAGTGACAAACTTTTGATTTTCATGGTGGTTCCACCTTGCCACTGTTCTGTAAGGCAATGCACATGCCCTGCAAGCCTCTTGAAGACCTTAATGACACTGTCGTGCTGTACGGCCTCTGGCACATTCAATCTATATCCAACTCCGTTGTTCCTGTTTCAAAAACATCGTAACAACACTACATTAGGCTGCCAGCTAACACATGGCTCTGTTCCTCTCGTCACTGTGCATGGGCGTGATGTGGGAAGGGAGAGTCCATTTGCTCTGAAGTAAGGTAGGTGTGTAACTAACATGTGGTATAAGCTACATTATTTGGTTCTGTTGCATGGCGTCTCTACAGCAAGAGTGTTGCCACTATTAAAGTTCCAACCCTTGTACGTGGGGCAATCCAAAAGTTTCCAAAATTTGAATTTTGCGTGTGAATGGTTGTGAGTACATCGAAATACCGCTAGGTGTCTCCTCACATATCCTTCTTGAATCAGTGTGGCAAGCGGCATCGAGTTGAGTGGTTGGGTTTATTGTTGGTGAACGTATTTCCATTGTTGTGTTTCCGTGAGCTTGCAGTTTTGCGATGGCTGACCTGAGAGAGCAGCGTGTCTGTATAAAGTTTTGTTTTAAACATAGTTAGTTAGTTATTGGAGAGGGTGGGTTTCCCCATGCACTTAGACCAGTATTGGTCCATTGTGCTTCCTTCTATGATATTCTACCAGTCTCTATACCCTACTGATAAATGGTGCGTACCATCAGTCCCGCCGAGCAAGCGAGTTCGGCCACTTGCTTAGCGGTGTCTATAATGCTCCCCCATCTATCAGAGGCCTTAGAGACTACTGTTGGGCGGGAAACGTCCTGGAATTTGGCTCAGTGATCTCCTTTGGAGGTATGAGGTTCTTTTACGTGCCGTAAAGTTACGACATGGGACACACAGCTTAAAGTCCCTCCCGGAGGACTTGTTCCCTGAATTTTTCCGCCCTTAAAAATTCGATGACCTCCGCCGGGTATCTGAACCCGCGTACCACGAGTCATGAGGTGGGAACGTTACCTCTAGACAACGGAGGCCGCTTTGTTTTAAACTTAGGAAAACCTCTGTAGAAACGCACCAAATGTTGAAGCAAGCTTTTGGTGACAACAGTTTAGGCCAGACACAAACTTACGACTGGTATAAGCGTTTCAAAAATGGCCGAACATCGACTGATGATGATCGTTCAGGACGGCCGTCAACGGGCAAAACACTAGAAAATGTCACGAAAGTTAGAGATCTGATTCTGCAAGATCGTAGACTGACCATCCAAGACCTCTGTAACACCTTGGGACTAAGTTATGGTACATGTCAACGAATTTTGTCAGAGGAACTGAACATGAGGAGGATTGTGGCAAAGTTTGTGCCATGACTGCTGCAAAATGAACAGAAGCAGCATCGCTTGGAAGTCTGCAGGGAACTTCAGCAACAGCTTCAAGAGGATCCAAACTTTTTTTCGAAGGTTGTCACTGGTGACGAAAGTTGGGTTTATGGCTACGACCCTGAAAGCAAGCAGCAATCGTCGCAATGGAAGAGCCCTTCTTCACCTCGGCCAAAAAAAGCTCGACAAGTCAAGAGCAACATTAAGTCCATGTTGATCTGTTTTTTTTTTATATTGACGGGATTGTTCATAAGGAGTTCGTCCCTCCTGGTCAGACAGTCAATAAAGAGTTCTGTTGCCATGTTCTAAGGCATTTGAGGGAGGACATGAGGAGAAAACGTCCAGAGAAGTGGCACATGAACGACTGGGTACTCCACCATGACAACGTACGACTGCATACGGCTTACATTGTGCAGGAATTTTTGGCTAAAAACAAGATGGCAGTTGTTCCCCACCCACCGTACTCGCCAGACTTAGCTCCATGCGACTTCTTTCTCTTCCCCAAGATGAAAATCAAGTTGAAGTGGCGAAAATTTGATACAGTTGAGGAAATTCAAGCAGAAACACAGACGGTACTAAACACCCTAACAAAGAAAGACTTCCAGGAAGCATTTGAAAAGTGGCAGAAACACTGGGATTGGTGTATGCGCTCCCAAGGGGACTACTTTGTAGGTGATAGTGCAGAAGA